CTCTGGCATATGACAATTACATAGCGGTGATGTCCCACAAACGGCATCAACTTTTGAAAGAGTTGATGCAAGCAAACCCTTTGAGGATTTGAAAATGGTCAAGTCGTAGTAGGCGGTCTCGTAAAGGTGTCACGGTAGGGGGGGACAAGATCGTGGATAAAGGTGACGGCAAGGGTGGCGTAGGATGCCGTAATAAGGCGCACGTCTCAATGAGGGAGGGTGTCGCAGAGATGTTAGCTGCCTCAGGATGTAAGGGGTACGTTGAGTTAAACGTTTCCTGGTTACTCATATGTAGGAGTTGAAGGAAAAAGGTGACAGGGGACTGTGCTGTGAAAGTACAGGGCATTGTACATACAATCAAGGCAAAGAGTGAGTGAGTATGGTTTTACGCCGCTTTTAGCAATATTCCAGCAATATCACGGCGGGGGACACCAGAAATGGGCTTCACACATTGTTCCCATGTCGGGAATCGAACCCGGGTCTTCAGCGTGACGAGCGAATGCTTTAACCACTAGGCTACCCGACCGCCCCAAGGCAAAGAGGCAGAGAGGGGCCCAACCAGATTTGTTCCCGCGGCAGTGAGTACGAGGGATTTATTCTGTAATTTAAGAAAAGTCATATTGATGTGACAAGCAAACAACAGGAAACGGGGGGCATAATGTAACTCAAAAACTTTTCGTTTTTTATGCCAGCAAACAATTACACAAACAGTCGTGAAAAGCAAAGCTTTAAAACACACAAACATGAGGTAAAACAAAATTAATAGATTACCCAGGCCAAATAAAAGAATTCAGAACACAAGACACGAAAGTATGTGGCCACATGGTGAATCAAAAATGGCAGATGGAACAACAATATGCCTGTAAATTACCATGACTAGAGCCACAAACGAGCGATAAAATGTTACAAAATACATATGGGAAGACCACAAAGGGCACAAAACATAAACAGAAGATAATATGATAGTAAAGGATGAATGTAGAAACACGCAATGTAGCATCTGTATACTACAGTACGTCCGTTCATGGACGTGACAAAGCAGTAATGTGCTCTTATGTGACGTCATAGCAGCTGGACCTCAAATAGTTTGTCTTTCTGTCAAAAAAACAGCAGTAAGTGCATTAAGGAGTAATGCAGGATAAGTTACAAAATTACCTAATGAGTCCATGTGACACTGCCTAAGACAGTTCTCCAGAGAGTAATAAAGTCAGTGTCTCTGAAATTGTAACGCTTGAAATTAAACACTGCATTGAATAATACTGTTGTACCAACTCTCTGAGGCACCCTCAGCTATATTTTAAGATATTATAAATTGTTCATAGTTTTTTGAAAATAAAATTGTAATTAGTCTCCTGTGAATTCATCTCTTTGCTGACTAATTCCTCCAAGAAAACCAGCACACCATTTGGACGGTTTTATACATCCGAACTGAACCATAATAATTCTGCAACTCCTGGTAACTGTCACATTAGTGTCTAGCACCACCATAGGTCTTGTGTCTTTACTTCTCTTTGTCATTATTTCATGTCTCATTTTAGTCTTTGTAACTTGTGTTTTAGTGTCTTTAGTGTTGAGTGTTTATTCCTCTGGTGGGGACATCAGCTTCACTGGTGTTTTCTCATGCGGAAATGAGAGTTGTCTTCTATTCCTTCTTAGGTCTTTACCTACCGAACATATGATGTAGGATCTGGGTGACTGATCCAGTTGTCTTACTAGTCCTAGGCTATCAAACCCATTATTTGTGAGAACTCACTTTGTCACGAGGTTCAATGGCAGGCAGCAGCGGTCTTGTTGAAATACTGTCTTTGTTGACCTCTCAGTTCTAAAAGGAGTTTGAAGACACCAGATGTTTTTTTAGAGCAACAGGTGAAAGTAGCTTGGATGACATAGGAATTTCAGTTTTGGTTCTGTGTGACAGTAGTTGCTGTGTAGGCTTGTTCTCATGGTGTACTTGTCTGTTCCAAAATTCATTTTGCAGACTGCACTTCCTTTTTCACTGGGACACCCCTGGTACACGCCAATTTCATAGCGGCTATGTCCGGTGACTATATTTTAATGGAGTTGGTACAAGCAAACCCTTTGAGGATTCGAACATGTTCAAGGTCGGAAATGGGTTTAGAACAGACTTGGACACCCCGGCACTACAATTTCGTAGCAGCGATACCCTGCAAGTGGTGCCTACATTTGATGGATTTGGTACAAGAAAACCCTTGGAGGATTCGAACATGGACGTTTGTGCAGTGTCACTTGGAGCCCGCCATTGCTGCTTGCAGCTTTAATTATTATTTATTATTATTATTTAATATTCTGCTGATTTTTGTACCAGACCTAGCAAAATAAACCGCTGGCTCGATTTTGTTCAAAATTTGTGTGTGTTTGTAGACTGTTGGGTACTAGTGCCTGCCAAAAACCAAAGGCTGTAGGCCCAAAGGCCATGGGCAGATAACTGAAAAACAAGTATTTTTTGACGATATACTGTAAATCTTGAAATTAACGTGAGCGTGAATTAAATGCGAAAAATGCAAGTGGTCTTTGCTCGCATTTTTAAACATCGCATTTATATCTACAATAAGACATTTTTGATAGCAAAAACACCAACTTAGACATACGCTGATGTATTCCACATCACTGTTTATTGAGCAGCACTTGTATATAAAGTATATTAACAATGTCATTCAAACACTAATTACATCCTGTGAATTGTCACTGCTGGGGTCAAGACAAGAGTTCTACTCACTTATGTCATCACTGATCACACCTGCAAGTCCAGACAGACGCCACCCTTTGTTCTTAGTGCTGCGTCAAGGGCCGACACGGGCCAGCGCGCATGTATTGTTTTTGCAGAAGTACTTTACTCAGCGCTAATAAGCGGTGCTATTTGGTGTGTGATTGGATTAATGTAAGGTTGGATTAAGGTGAGGATTCTAAACCTGACTGAGGACATCTTTAGATAGAAATCCAGTGTTGCTTGAGAGGAGGGGGTGTCGCATTTTTGGCTAGGGTCCAGTGGTCGCATTCTTTTGGAAGCATTAATTTCACGATTTACAGTATTTAGCCCTGCTGCTCCACAACCGTTTGTCCATTTACTTTCAAACCTTGCATGTATCTGCTGCTTCAGTTCCTTGATATTTTTTGTTCTTTGACTTTGGTCATTGATCACGTTTCGCTGCCATATTGGATTCACTGCATGAAATGCATTCAAACTTTCTGAGAATTGTCTCCATACATTACCCATCTAACTCTGTAAGCCAATTTTGGATATCTTTTTTTAGTGACGTCCCTATTGAATTTTGATTTTTGATGATTTTCTGCACCGAAATTTTACTTTAAAGATCATATCTTGTAAGGTTCTCCACAGAAACTATTGAAAGTTGACATATGTACCTCATCTTTTGTGCTTGGTTGCATGCTGAAAGTAACACCGCTTGGTGGTAATATTTGATTAATATTTGGGACACCCCTGGAACACACCAATTGTTGGTACAAGCAAACCCTATGAGGAATCGAACATTTTCAAGGTTGGAAATGGGTTTAGAACAGACTTGGACACCCCGGCACATGACAATTTCGTTGCTGCGATACCTTGCAAGTGGTGCCCACATTTGACAGATTTGGTACAAGTAAAAACCCTTGGAGGATTCGAACATGGACGTTTGTGTGCAGTGTTAGATGGAGCCCGACATTGCTGCTTGCAGCTTCTTTTTCAACTATAATCACCGCGCCTATCGTACTTGGTATGGCAGGCAGAGTCTCTGGACTGGCAGGAATAGCTCTTAAATTTATTTTTCGTAAGTTGCAAAAGAAAGCATTAAAAGATGACAGTATTCATATACTCGCGGAAGCAAAGTTGAATAGCATTGAGGATCAGCACTGACTGATTGCAAGATATCCAAGGAGGATTTTAGTGTTGTCAGAACTCACCAAATACAACGCAATGAAGGAGGAAATTCGATCAAATTCTCGTAAGACCAGTGATATTAGTGAAGACGAGAAAAGAAAGTTCACAGAACAGGGGAGACAACAAGCGCGTCAATTATTCCATGCCAAAACCAAAGAACTGGCTGGAGATTATGAATAGATTGTTTTCTGGATACATCATTGTATCGCACACAATAAAAAATCAAAAATCATTTTAACGAATGCTTTCATAAGTCTATAATAATGGAGAATTACAAGCCAACAAAGGAAGAACTTGAAAAAGCTATCAAAGCATTTATGCTCCGGGACAAAATTATTAAATGAGAGAATTACTACAAGGTATATGTTATATCAGGGATGTCAAACCATCCAAATACGGTTATCTATTGTTTCTTTCCAATTTCGTAGAAGAGCATACAGTCTGGTCTCCTTGTAAAATGAACGAAGAACTCCTAGTCATGACGATTATTGAATTGCATGGCGTTTTTTGCATAAAAAATTACCTGTGTAGTATAGGTACTGGGGTATAAATCTGGCTCCAGTGGAGTTACGGTAGAACCCCCATTCCCTAGACTACTGCTCGTGTCACGGAAACTACCTTCATAATGCCAACATCAACAGCTTGCCCTGGCAGTCGAGATCTCCCGATCTCAACACAATCGAATACCTCTGGGATGAACTCGATCGAAAGAATCCGTACACTTAAGCAGTCAGTGCCGAGGAGAGACAGAGCTGTGATTGCTCCCTGGGCGTGTCACACAAAATACTGAATTTGCCACAACTTTGTGGCCTTATGTGACATGACAATGAACAGTTTTCAATGACAACATGTGACTATCGAGCTCCAAAATTACATATTTGTATTTATGTTATTAAATTAAATATATCAACTTTATTAGGTACAATAAATTTACTAAAAATCCACCTGTGCGTTTCTTTTTTTTTCAAAAGTGTAAAAACTTCAGACAATGCCAGGCAACCAAAATGGTGCCATTACTTGACAACATGAACTGTCACATGAAACTGTGTCTATAAACTGCATCGATCTCACCTCACACTTTCATTAAAAGATTATGTTTTACCTTGACAGAAGGTTGTCTAATTCATCAATGGTAATGGTGAATCCAAATTCATGTAGTACTCGAAGAAAATCAGTTCTGGAGATGAAACCATCTCCATTGAAGTCAAACAGCTCAAAGCCTGCACAGAGTGCCTGTTGGGTTATCTGAAAGAGATATTTTAATATGTAACTAATGAACAGTGGTCATGCAGTCAATATGATCTAGGTATGAAATGTCCCAGGCTCATGCTTACTGCTGTGCGGAATTATCAACCAACACATATTTAATACGCAAATTGTGAGAGGCGAGTGCTACCAATAGGGCAGGACATGCTCACTTTTTTCACAAACACCAGAAGCCATCACTTATTTTCAGTTATCCATACATATATAACTTTCACCACTATATTGGGTTTTTCACCAATTGGAATGTTTTGGTGAATAATTGAGATTGGCTATTCTGCTGTGTTGACATGAAATATTTCCATGTAGAAATATCATAAAAAGCTCATAATATGAAAAAATTCCTCATTAGAAGTTGTTGGTGAAATCTGCTTGTGAAATCTGGTTGTATACCTCAAGGGTCTGTCTGTATGTGCATGTGTGCACAAGTGTCTGTGACTCCTTGTATTAGTCCAGACTAATATAGGGCCAGCCCACTGATATATAATGCTGCAGTTCAATACCCCACTCAGACACAGTACACTGACTACGAGCCGACCAGATTATGTTCTACCCCCATAATACCAAGGGTCACAACAAGTACCATCTTCTAAAAAATGTTGGTATGGCATAGCCAGGGATTGAACCACTGACCTTCCAATCTATGGGCAGACAGTCTTTTCACGAGACCATCAAGGCGGTTATATAGTAATAGTTTTGATGTTTCTTTCCTGGTTCTAAAACGTACAAATAAGAGGAAAGAAAAACCCTTCTACTTGCCCTAAATTACAAATTGTATTAAATAATATTGAGTCTGATGTCATAGTTTTATTATGATATAACATTTATACTAAGTTTTCATATAATAATTAGATCCACAGCAAGGGCTTTTATAAGTTATCAATGTGGAACATTTATACAAAATTTCATATGATTATAGTTTAGCAAGTAATACATTAATCAAGGTAAAATGCAGATACAAAATATCAGTAGCTTCAGTTATAGCTTTTTAGATAGATGCTAGCCTAAGGTAACAAGATCCCATCTCCCAGACATAATATCCAAAAAGACAAAAGATATATGTCTACATAGTCTTATAGATTGCCTTGTACTATTTTATTTAAGTAAATCTGTCATCACCTATGTTAGAATAACATTCAGCAAATAATTCCATTTAGACTCATTAAGGATTAGCCCCATACAAGCTCATCTATAGTGATACCATAATCTCTTTCCAAGCACCCAATAAATATGTCAACAAGATTAGTGCTAGTCCAATTAAGTATTCCTCTCTGTCTAGCCATTCATTTACCATAGGGCACACCCCATTGTGTATCAACAACCAATCATATCCCTTTTTATTGTTTTAATTTGTGTTAAATACATACAGCAGCCAAATGTTAAGCAGGAGGGGTTTCACGCTCAAACCAAGCAGACCTCTCGCCCATGTCCCAGAGGGTGGTACCAACTCTCTGCAGCATCCACAGCTATATTTTTAAGATATTGTTCATTGTTCATGTAAATAAAATGTAATTAGTCTCTTTGACTCTGGCTCTTTGCTGACAGAAACAGAACGTTCTGTGTTGTGGTTCTTTCTGGTTTTACAATATCCGATGTTTCACTTCTTAGAAAGTAAAACTTGACTACTGAGCAGGTTTTATTTTTCAAAAGTAAAACCTGTCAACAGGTTTTACTTTTGAAAAGTAAAACCTACACCTTAGGTTTTCTTCCCGGAAGACCTGCCCTAGGGTCATTGTGTGAAAATGAGCTGTATCGTAAACAACAGGCAAAATCTGCTATAGGTTTATAAATCAGAACAGAACCAGGGGTTGAAAAATACCATTGCACGACGCCCGTGCCAAGTATGGTTTAGATGTTGGACGAGTGATATACGTTTTCTAGCATGCACGTGGACAAGTAGAGCATACAAAATGAACTGGGTCAAGTTTCACAAGAATGTAATCATGAGATTATGTTAAGATATTTCATTGTCTAATATCTTGATAGTGTCACAGAATGCCTATCTAATTTGCATACAATTACACCAATCAACCAATGGGATTAATTCACTTCATTGTCAAGCAGGTCAACAACAATGAGAACTGGGCTAGTTTAATTGATAACTATAAATCGTAGTAACACTTCCATATATGGCACATGCTTCTTGGAAATTGAATGATGGACATGTAGCAGGGTACCTTTATCATATTCTTCCTAGTTACATCATTATTCATACACCATCATCATAATCATCTATATGTTCAATGTTTGTATTGTCTACAGTTGAATGTCAGTATATAACACTTTAAACAACTCAACACCCTTATTTTCAGTCTCTGGGAATCTCTCACCAGATCTTCCCCTTCAACCTTCTGTCTATCTTTAGACATTTTTTCACACCTGTAGGGTTTCCCTAAGTCTATTTATATCTTGCTATAGCACTTCCTTTGATGCTTAATGCAATGTCTTCTAATTGGCCACCCTGGTCCTCTACAGGTAGCTTCCTTCCATACCTGACTTCCTCCTCACTTCATGTGCTGCTGTTGAGGAGGAAGGACATTTTCTTTTCTTCAGGTATGGAATGGCCACATTTCAATCTGTTTTCATCTGCTTCTGTCAGGAATTAATATCTATATTAGGGTGCTGAATTAAATTGAATAACATATATAATATCATTTAAAGTAATATTAAATTAGTAAATGGAATATTAATATTATAAAACTAGTTTGTAAAATAATTAACCACATGGTCCATTTTGGCCCATGTGCTTTTCATGTGTTCTATAGTCTGATAGTTGTAATTAAACATTAAAGTTAGTTTTATCATAGTTATAAAATGGGTTTTGTACTTATATATTTAAGATAAATAATACCTGTAAATTTTCAAATATATGACTTCATGTGCTGCTGTTGAGGAGGAAGGATATTTTCTTTTCTTCAGATATTTCTTCAACAGCAGCAACCCCCATTATAATAAACACATTATCATCATCTGCCTGTGTCTGTGTTCTCCATTAATATAGGTAATGATGGTTCTGCCGCAACTCCACTGGAGCCGGATTTATATACCTATACCACCACTACAGGTGGCATTTTTTATGTGTAAATGATGATGCGAGTCAACGATCGTCATGAGATTAAACTAAATTGACTCTAGCTCACCACCACCTACAGTCAATCAATGCTTCTATGCCAGATTTATATACCTATACTGCTACTACAGATGGAATTTTTTATGCGTAAATGATGATGCGATTCAATGATCGTCATAAGTCGTATTAAAAGAAACATCAATATTCATTAATAATGAATAAAATTTACTATAGCCCACGAGGATATTGGAAAGGTATAGGAGCAATAAAAAAATTAGCCACCGCGGCTAAGGTATCTAAAGATGTGGCCAAGGATTGGTTAAAGAAACAAGCGATGTGGTAAATATATTTACCAGCACCGCGTTATATACTGAGGAAGAAGTTTGATATTTTTACAACGAATGAAGTTCATCAGGCTGACCTCTTGTTTCTTCCCTACGATAAGGTAGTGGATGTGGCTAGTCGATACAAAGAGGCTGAGCCATTAACCCTGAAAGGTTCAACAGAAGTAGCTAATGCACATATAATGTAGCTAATGTCGCATATATAAACGCGGACCACTAAAATGGCCTAAGCTATTTCAAGTAGATCCTGGTCGCGAGTTTATGGGATCAATAACTAAACTCTTAACAAAGCACGATGTCGAAATCAGGCGTGGTGAAAGAGAGGCCCACCGTAATCAAGCTATCGTCGAAAGATTTAACAGGACAATAGCTGAACGTTTGTTTGGCTATCAGTATGGGATCGAAATGAAATCGGAACGATTGAGATCAATCGAATGGGTGACACGATTATCAGCTGTTGTATCAGCGCTGAATAATGAAGTAACAAGATTAATCGGGAAGAAACCATCCGATGCAATTAAAATGAAATCCGTGACTTCCAAATCTTCAGCACCAGGAGAGGCAAAGAACAAAAACTTCCGGATAGAGTAAGCTTAAGATATTTATATCAGCCCGGTGAACTCGAAGGAGGCCAACGACGCGCAACAGATCCGATTTGGTCTCTTAAGACATATAACATTAGTCGATTGGTTATGAAAGAAGGAGAGCCTATTTTTTAATATCTTAAAGATGGACCGGGCAGGGCATTTGTACGAGAAGAGTTGCTCATAGTTCCTAACGATACAGTATTACCGCCCTAAATAACCATAAGCGTAGGTAGTTACACCATCCTTATCAATCCATCTCTTTGTATCTAAGGGGGATAATGATGTCTTGTTCATTCTTAATCCATATATCCTTTGATTGTAACTTCTTAAAGAGTTCATCTCGTGTTTGAATGTTCTACCGTTGAATAATGCTTCTTTATACTGTTTGTGTTTGATATGCTTTTTTACCACATACTTCTTAACACCCTTAGCTTTTCTTTTCTCTCCATTATCGGACTTCTTTATAGAATACATCTTAGGTCTTAATCCTACATACTCCGCTATAGGAGTCCCAGCACATTCATCCTTCATCTTACCTAATACCTTTTTATTTACTAAGCTGTGCAGTGGATTATCTTTAGGGTAATCGCTCGTGTCGTACATATCAATTTTTTCTGCCATATCTTTATACACATCCTCGGTTTGTATTTCCATCAACAAAGAATCTGTGTCGTTTTATAACACCTCGCATCTATTGCTGTATTGCTTAAGTTCGTTGTAATAAAAGTCATACATTAAGAGTTTTGACAAGTCGAGAATACTCATACCGACATACACCGGTCTGTTGAATTTTATATTACTCTTCTGCATATGCAACGCGGCTAAGTCGTTATCGAATATGTTGCTTCTGTTAAAAGCCGGACTGGCTATAAGTTTCCTGAGTCTTTCTTCCTCATTAGATCTGACTAATTTAACATCAACACGCTTCCTTAGATTCTCCATAGTTTTACCAAATACGGAGTTATTCATGAGCTTATATAG